GGCACCTGTAACTCCAGCTCTTGGGAGGCTGTAAACAGGCAGCTCACTATGAATTCAATCTAGTAGTGAGACCCTGAACATCCTGTAGGCTCTTCCCTAAAATACAAAATAAATAAATGAAACAAAAACAAATAAACAAACAAAATCCCTGAAAGCTTCTCTAAAGTTATCTGATGAGACTAGAGGTGACAGCAACACACGGGCTGTTTTACACTACATGACAAAATCCGTTGACCATCGTGGGATGTTTAAGGAACCACGCGTGGGTAAACCCTCCGTCCAACTCGCAAGTGGAGGCGATGCACTTGCGCGTAGCAGGGTGCACAGAGCTCGCTGGCTAAAGTCGTGGACTGTATATTACAATAAGCTTTCAAGAGCATGCCACACTGTGAGTTTTAGCACGGCATCAAAAGAGAACATCCGTAATTATGTAATAAGGCAATTAATATACTGCTCTGTTTTCCAACTATGTATCTGTGATGCCCAATTTTTGGCTAAAACAACAAACCACGACAGACTGAGGGAGCAGAGAGGAGGCGGCAGGCTGCTCTGAGCCAGGCATCAACCAGTTTTGAAAAAAAAATAAAATAAAATAAAAAAAATTAAAAGCTGCTCCTTACTCAAATCTTCTTGTTTGAAAACAGTTAATTTCCATTATTTTTTTTTATACTAGCATAGAATGGAGTTATTATCATCATTTCAAAAATAAATTAGAGAAGGTTTTGATTTCTTTTTTTTGGTTTTAATTTCTAGAATGGTCAGTAGCAATAGATTTAAACCGTGGAAACGAAAACCCTGGGCTCTTTCATTTCAGAGGCATTTAAAGCAGTTCTCAGACCCAAAAGCTTGAGAAATGTTGCCTTCAGGAAACAAACGGGTCATCTTTATTATCGTGTTATACAAGGGCAGAAAAGAAAGAGACAGAAAAACAGTGCAAACGACTTAAATGTCCAATAACTGGGAAATGGCCACATAAATTTGGACATCTCCATTTGGTAGGACATTATGTAGTCATTAAAATTATGTTTTCGAGGAATATTTATTGTTGTGGGAAAATGCTCAACATGTTCAACATGCGGTTAGGAGATTAACAAATGAAAGAAGCAAATTTCCATTCCTGTGATTTCTGGGACGCCGTGATTCAACGGCAAACCCGTAAAAGCGAGGAGGTCTGGAGTGATCAATCCACAGACGTCCCCTATCCACTGGGGCAAGGGCTGCAAGCTCGGCAGGGCTCGGCAGGGCTCGGCAGCGCCTGGGGTGGGGTCACAGCCTCACAGGGACTGGGGCCACGTTCACACCGGAGGTTCAATCCATCCGGGCTTTTCTCATACCCCGGGGGCAGGACCGGTGCCCTATGCAGGACCAGGGACCGGACCCTGGTCCCCGCGCTTGCTAAAGCAGGAGCTTTGTCCTCTGAGCTATCTCCCTGGCCCTTTCCATGAGGGCTTTTGCTGCTAAGCTCAGGGCCCAAACTCCTCAAGCAAACAGTCCCACGCTCCTTCCTGCCCAAGAACAAAGGGGGCCTCTAAGACCCATTTTGCCTCAGCTCCATTCTCTTCCTTGCTTTGAAGTCGGCACCACGGATGGTCTCAGGTGTCTGCCTGAGTTCTAATCCGCTCACATGGCAGAAAACGGGGTGGCAGCCAAACCGCAGCAACAGAGTGGGTGGGCGGAAGGGGACCTGCCGGAGTAGAAGCCTTTGCTTTTTCCTACCACGGGGACGCCGGCTATTAACAAGTGTCGCCCAACATCTGCCGCCTCTCCCGCATGTGCGTTTATCCTCATTCTCCTCATGTCAGCATTAAATCCCTCCTTGGGCCCCAGCCACCCCCTGCACGCATCTGTCCATAGTTTACACACCGTGTGCTGGGGCTGGCGAGGAAGCGCCTCATTTGTGACTGCGGAGGATTCCAGTGGGGTGGCTGGAGGTGCCCACTTTAGTGCCCTACAGTGGCATCCTCAAGTGAGGAGGAGCTCAGGAGGTGTCACAGGTCTGGGCTACCACTGACGGGAATCAGTCAACTAACACCTCCGGGTGGATCCAAGGACCCCCTGCCCCGCTGACCCACAGGAAATCCTGGGCAATGGGGTCAAGCGCTTTGTATCTCATTTAATTTTCATAGACTAGGAAGCCGCTCCAATTATTGGCTCCAAGGGTAAGAAACCCAGCTATTATTATCCTCAGCAAAGGCGCTATGGGTGGTTCAGGAAGGATGAGTAATTTATCAAAGGTCATGCAGCTAGAAAATGACAGAACAGGGATTTCAGTCCAGGTCGGACTCTGGAACCTGCCCCTCTCCCAACTGAACTTTATGGCTTTGGTCTCCCATATCCAGGTCAACTTCATTCCAGTGACACTGGAGCTAAGATGCACTGCGCCTGTACTGTAGGAGAGCGCTCTGCTGCTAATTAGCTCTGTGACCGTGGCCAGGTCACCTAACCTTCCTGATCCTCGTGTAGGCGTCTCAGTCTATGACCGGGGGTTAATAGCGCCTAGCAGGGTTGGAGCAAATAATAATGGATTTAGCACAAACGTCGCACTGCCCCTAAGTCCTTGCTGCCTGTCCTTGCTGTGTGTGATGCCTACGGAGGAGCAGACCAGGTAGATGGGCAGCAGCTGGCCCAGACCTGGAACCAAGGGCCCACCCAGAAGCCCCCCTTTGTATCTCATTTGGAATTCACCTGCTCAGTGTCAACCCCAGGCTGAAAATGTCACATGAAAATTTCTAGAAGTAGTTCCTGAGTTTCAAGTAACTTTTAGTACAGTACATTATTATAATTGTTCTGTTTTATGAGTAGTTATTACTGTTATTCTCTCACGGTGCCTGATTCATAAACTAAACGTTGCCATAGTCACCTGTGCAGAAGAGAACGCACAGGGTAGAGTTCGGTGCTATCTGTGGTTTCCGGAATGCACAGAACACCTCGAGCATATTCTGAACATACAAGCGGAAGTGATGTACACATCAGTGCCTCAAGGGCTGGAGGTGAAGGAGGGTACCTCAGACCAGGCTGCGCCCCTCCCATGCCGGGCCTTGCTTATATCCACGTCCCCTGAAGCCACCATTCCTGCCCCCATCGCTCGGCTCTGGAAATCGAAACCTATAGGAGCTGGGATGATGTCTGAGGGGCCGAGGAAGGAGTGGCAGGAGCCAGGGTTCCTGACCTCTTCTTCTCAGGTCCAGATGAAGTAGAATTCTGATCCTGGCTAGGCACAGGGAAGCAGGCCTGTCCCTGGAATAGGTTCTAGGAAAGGAAGTTGAGGTGGCATTTGGCCGCTTCCTGCACCAGTCCCAGGACCACAGACATCGGCTGCATATCCTGGGCTGGCGATAGGTCCCATGGGGAACAGAGGTTTAAAGTCGCTGAAACTGAGATTGAAAGGAAGCTCTCAGGGACCCTCCTGGTACAAAGGACAACTGCACAGAGGAAAAGCATACCTCTTTGCAAAACGACCTCCTCAACATACAGTGTCATCCGGGCCACCTCGGCCCATACCTATCTAGGGGACCCACTGGAAACAAATGCCCAACAGGAGAGGAGGGCCCACTTGCCTTTGGGAGACGCAAGTACTGCTGAGAAGAATCCTCATTAAACACACTGAGGAGCTGGGCCTGGCTCATCCTGAATGACAGGGTCCCCAACTTTCTGGGGCAGGTGAGTGGGGTGTTGTACTGCCTGCCTCCATGGCCAGCTACATGGACTTTCTCAGGGGAGGGGACCTGCTATGACAGGGCTGACTCACTCACTTCATGCCCCACTACACTCCACATTTGAGATGCAGCTCCCTTCCCCCATGACCAGCCAGCTAGAAACAGGGCTTCCCAGGCCCCTTGCAGGGAGGCAGGGCCATGATCAAGCTCTCGCCAAGCGCAATCGCAGGATACAGACACCGACCACTGTGACGTGCTCTGTGGGAGGGTAAAGGAGAGTCTGATTCTCTCTCTCTCTCTCTCTCTCTCTCTCTCTCTCTCTCTCTCTCGGCTTTTTGAGACAGGGTCTCGCTGTGCAGTTCAGGCTGGCCTTGAGTGCGCTCTAATTCAGGCTCAGGCTGGTCTCGAACTCAAACGATCTTCCTGCCTCAGCCTCCCAAGTGCTGGGATTACAGGCATCTGCCACCACGCTCGCCCAGCAAGAGTCTGAATCTTTAAGCTGATGTTTTAAGGTCTCTTCCAGTAAGAGTATGATGTCAACCAAATGAACCAGCTTGAGCAACAGAAAGGAAATTTCAGAGTAGTCGCTGTAAATGGTTAAGTGGAAAACAGGTTGCAAAGGTTCATTGCTTTTTTTTTTCTTTTCTTTCTTCGGGAGAAGCAAAGACATGAAGAGGCTCACGAGAACCAACACAGGCTCCAAGGCTCTTTTCTCCCCAGATGGTTCATGCCCAAGTTCTCCAAGCACGTTGCCAGCTGGAGGCTCAGACAGTGGCTTTGGGCCCAGCTCAAACAACCTGAGACCTTCCCAGAATCCCCAGGAGTAAGCAGGGAGAGAGAGAGAAAGCTGAGGGCTGTGGGGTCCCAAGCAGCAACAGGGAACCGGGCTGATCCACAGCCCACTGGCTTCCTCTTTTGCTAAAGAGACTTTTGCACACATGGCAGTCATGGGACATGGTCCATTTGGTTGAGAGGCCACCTGGATATCTGCAACACATTGTCTTCCAAGTCCTCCCCCAGGCCCAGGGCACAGGCTATGCTGGGTCACACAGTGTGGTCCATTCTGTCCCCAGAGCCCACTATGATACCAGACAGCAGATATGCACACTGTGCCCGGAGGAGAGGAACTGAGAATACAAGGAGATGGGGACCACATCAGCAGCCTGGGCCAGTGGCGATGCCCAACCGACACCCACAGCTCGGAGGGAAGCCCTCCTGCATCACCATGATGGACAGCATCTGGGGGTCTGGATCTGCCTCCAAGCCAAGGAAGGCAAGAGCCCACCTGAAGAAGAGCCAGGCTTGGCGGCTACCCAGGCAGGAGTAGTGCCACTTGTCACTCACCCTGCAAGGCCTCTTTGGCTCTGGCCAGCTCCTGCTCCTTCTGCACAAGCTGCACCCTGAGCTCGGTGGCTGAGAGGACCTCGGAGGCCTTGCCGCCCTGCGACTCCTCCAGGTCCTTGGCCAGCATCTCCTTCATCTGCCGGAGAAGGTGCACTTCCTCCTGAAGCCGGGATACCTCTTCACGAAGGAGCGCTGCAGGAGAGAGGCACATGGTTAGAGGACACTGCTCACTGCCTTACCTTGAGGATGGCTCTAAGGAGCTCGTGCTGTCCCCATTTGCAGGAACAATGTCCCTGTCTCCACCCCAGGCTTACCCTGTCCACCAACCACATCTGTTGCCACTCCCAGCCTACCACATGCCCAAGGCTGCCACCGTCACTGGCCCAAGTGTCCACCTGACGGCCATAGGCTTAGGTGGTGTCACTACCAGCTGGCAGCATGCCAGGTTATGCTTTAAAAGCACTGTTTGGGGCTGGGGATGTAGCTCAGCAGCGCAGCACCAGCCTGGCAAGTGCAAGGTTGTGAGTTTGATTGCCAGTATTAAATAAATAAATAAATAAATAAATAAATAAATAAATAAATGCATTGTTTCATTTGCTGCCTGGAACCCAAGTCAGGTAGGGTCACAGCCCGTTTCCAGACTAGGATACTGAAGCTCGGAGAGATTACACAGAAGCAGGCGGTCATCAGGTCAGTCAGAGGCAGATCTGAATGAGGCCTGGCGGACTCCAGAGGGGCCCGTCCACACCTGGGCAGAAGAGCTGTGCGGCACACTGCTCACAGAGCACACAGCCCAAGGGCGGGCTCCGAGATGGGTGTGGTGCCGTGGCAGAGGAGTTTGCAGAGACTGATCCGGCCCTGCGTCCAGCAGGTTCCCAGAGATGAGCCCAAGGACAGCCTGGTGTCCTCAGGCTCTGGGGGTGGACACCAGACTGGCTTCCGCTCACTGGGGACACCAACAGACCCTGCATAGCTTGGGGACTGTCCCCAAGCCTCTCAGCTGATCTGCAAAATGGGAGCTCTGCCTTGGGGCCTCCCCATCTGCCCTGATAGGGACCTGAGAGCCAGACCCAGAGCAGAAGGGTTACCCAGAAGGGCTGCCAGGAAGGAGCAGAAGTGAGTGAGTATGAACAGAATGCAGAGTTGAGCTGTGTGTGCTCGGAGCACCGGGCTGCCCTTGAAGAAAGGGAGAAGAAACAACACGAGCGATACCCAGAAGCTGGAAAAGCAGAGGGCCCTTGGCGCATGCCTGCAATCCCAGCACTTGGGAGGCTGAGGCAGGAGGATCATTGTGAGTCCCAGACCAGCCTGGGCTACAAAGTGAGCTCAAGGCCAGCCTGAACTGCATAGCAAGACCCTGTCTCAGAAGAAAGAAAGAAAGAAAGAAAGAAAGAAAGAAAGAAAGAAAGAAAGAAAGAGCGAGAGCGAGCGAGAGAGAGAGAGAGAAAGGCCAGGGAGATGGCTCAGTAGAATAAGCACTTGCCTGGTAAGTACAAGGGCCTGAGTTC